ATACACACACACATACACTAGTATTCTGACCCGTGCCATGCACGGGGTCGAAAGAAATTTATGTCGATTCTGAATTATTTCAATGAAATTTATTTTTCGGAATAAAGAAAATATATTGCTCACATGATTTTTAATACTACAAATGAAAAAAAGCCAAAGTAAAATAAATAATATTTGAGGTACAAAATGTAGAGTTAACAATGTTTATTTTGATACCAAATTTTATGAAAGACTTCGGGGTATACAACATTTTTGGTATGGTTGCAAGGGTTTCCATTGTCATCTAGAACTAATATTTTTAATCCTGTATTTGTCACAGTGTACTCCTCTAGTTTGACTTTTTCAGGTCTATACTCGACCCTTTGAGAGGCATACACCCAATCATGAGCTAAATATCCTGCCTCACCCTCGAGAATTACAGTGTGCAAATTTAGTTATGTAATTTTTTTAATCTTCAAGTCACCAAAACTTGGATCATGCAATTGACGTGGATGAGAAAATGAGTTAGGATCGAGATTGTATGAGTATTTTGTTATATATTACAGCGAGAAAAGAAAAACAAATTAATCCGAATTTATAATCTGTTCGGATTTTACAATGGAAGAAATATAATAGAAATAAACTATGACGTTAGAGACGCGGAAGATGAACAAACTATGGAACTTTTAAGCGTTGGCCTGGACAATGATGGACGGAGATGAACCTGCAAACCGTTAGGAAAGCGGACACGACGAAGCTTTCCTTAAGGCAATATTGCCCGCCTCCTGCACCAGGAACGAGGAGATTTTCTCACCGGAAAATTACTTGAAGAAGACGAACGGAAAAAGGAGAGAGTTGGAATCAGAATGTATGTGGAGAATTTGAAGATTTTCGAGTGTGTTCTTCTCTACAGTCAAGCCCTCCTTATATAAGAGTGGTCTTGACTCTTCGGATGGACGCCGACATGTGTTTAATTTTGTCTCGTAACATGTGTGTGCGCGTGCGTGCTGTGCTGAGCCAGACGGACGACAGCAGTGCGCGAGAGATCTGTTCTTTTCTCCTTCTCAAATTGCTTTATCATGTAATTCAATGGTAGCATATAAATGGTGGAATATGAAAAGTCTCAAATCCGATGTGGGATACATGAGTTTTACTCTTTCAAAGTGTTCGACTTTATGAATTAATTTCTCAATTAATCGAGCACCATTTTTGGCACACAATATATTAAAATACTCGTCTCACTTTAGGTGGAAAAATAATTTAGTAGACCCCATCGAATTTAAGTTCGAAGTTATCTCATTATAAGCCAAAATTCTAACATATTTATCTGGAGATTAGAGAAGTAAGAACTATTAATTTCGCAACCGTAGCACAGTATCTTTGTGGCCACTCAAATTGATGAGTGGCTCTAGAACGTTTCCGTTATAGCTAACCATCTACAAAAGCTCCGTAAAACCCATCACCAAAATTTTATTTTCGTTTTTTCAGAAAAAATTCAGTTCTTGTTGCTATGGAAAAAAACTAGTCAAGAAAAAAAAGTTATGTTTTATTGTAAGAATGAAAATACTTGGTGAGAGGATTGATAGATTTGAGGATTTTTTTCCAACGTGTGATATCATTAAAAAAACAATGAATGGTATCAATTTTTGTAATTGTATTGTTATTTCATGTAGTTTTAGGTTTCAATAAAAAGTTACTCCCTCCGTTCCTTTAAACCCTTCCGCTTTTGACTTTTGGCAAAAATAAGGAAAGTGTAATTTTAATTGACTTTCTAATTTTGCCCCTGATGTGATGTGTAAAAGTAAGATGTGATAGTTTGGTTATTAGTAAAAAAGTATGATGTGATAGGTAGGGTATGAAAAAGTAAGGGTAAAAGTGGTTTTTTAATAGAAAGTGGAAGTGTTTTAGGGAATTCAGAAAAAACGAAAGGGGAAGGGTTTTGTGGAACGGAGGAAGTAGTATTTATTATGTCTGTATTTTAATGAGTGAATTCCATAATTGGTCCTTTATAACAGGGGAGTTTCCCTATTTAGTCTTCTATTATCAAATATTATCTCAGTGGTCCTTTTTTTATGGGTATCTTTCCACAAATGGTCCTTTTTTTTTATCTTCAATCATGTTGGTGTTAATTTGAGGGCTAAAAATGTAATTTCACAATGATAATATATCTTTTTTGTCATACACAATTCCAAAGGCTATTCCGTTTGCATCGTTTGTGAATTACAGTCGCTTTCTACTACAACGATAGTCTACAAATGTGGTCTTTCGTCGTAATTCTAGCTCACAATCATAGTCATTATTTTTGTATTATCCGCTTAACCAATATCAGAACATGTCACTAGACATAATGTTGATGTCAAATTATATTTTTAGCCTTTAAATTAACACCAACATGGAAGAAGATCAAAAAAAGGACCAATTGTGGAAAGGTACCCTTAAAAAAAGGACTACGAGGGTAATATTTGATAATAGAGGACTAAATATGGGAACCCCCCTGTTATAAAGGACTAATTATGGAATTTACTCTATTTTAATATATTGCTTTTAAATAGCGTAGAGTGTTTATTAACTTTTTGATATCTTCTAACAAAGATTAATAAAAAGAGAAAATTCTATTAATATGAGTAAAACATTGCCCTTTTTTCTACATGGATCACACAAATTATACTAGTAGGTAACCCCGTGCTTCGCACGGGCTGTGGATGTGTGCAGGTTAAGTGTTATTTTTGTAAGGAGCATTTATTGTAACGTTAAATATAACATGTGTAGTATTTAGTGCGTGGGGAATATTTTTTTTGTTTGGAGTTGTTGTTTGAGTGGTTTTACGGATAAGTAGCATTGAGTGTAAGGTTAGTACTAGTCGTTATTAAAGTACGTTGTAATATTTTATTATTATTTTTGCTAATATATGGTAATAGAAGTGTTAATAAAATATCATGTATGTCATAAACAATGAGAAATTATATGTTTTTTTTATGTAGTGATAGACTTTGAAGTTGTTATAATTGAAGGCCCTGGATGTTGTAGTTGTAGCCCTCGTTTAGTAGTGTTTTTTGTTGTTTTTGCTGGGTCTTGTTCAGCCTGTTGTTTCGTGGCATGAGATGTAATGATTAGGGGTTTGAATTCCATCTTTTAACGCAATTTCAAGTGTCACTACGTATGGCTCATTTTTTTTGTGTTTTTTCGGTTGTGTAACGTGCTTTTCGGAGATTTAGTTGCTTGAGAATATGGACCGGTACTGTTTTGTAAGATATGGTGAGATGCATTGTTTGAGCGTCCATTTTTTGTAAAGCAACGGGGTAATAATTAGAATGTAAAGAGGTATTTTATTTATGCTTAGTGTAGATGTGTACGTGTAGCGTTGTGTTGCACCTTTGTTTGTTCTGTTGCTTGTATCAACCCCGTCCTTGAGGTTTATTTTAATTGAGTTAATTAATTTTTGGGGGTGATGTAGTTTAATGGTGTTTGTGCGTGTGGTGATTTTTTTTGTTTTGTTGGTATATTGTTAAGAATTGGCATGTTTTGGTTGTTTTTTTTTCTGGACGTTTTTTGGTGGTATTATTTTGTGTGTGTGTGTGTGTTTGTTTTTTGTGTTTTGTTTTTTTAGTGTATTTTTGACTTAAATGATTTACAATGGTAAGAGAAATTAGTTCTTGCACTTAAAATTTGGAGTGTGTACTATGTTAGTGGAAATAAATTACAGTTGTTTGTTTGTACTTCATTTGGATTAGTGCTTCTATGATGTACATTGGGTGGATACCAAGGGTTTTTTTTCTTTTGTAAAACATAAGTTAATTTTAGTAATTAAAAGACAGTTCCATGTTTTTCTCATATTATGTACCTGTGAAGCGTGTTGTTGTTTTGTAACTGTTTCTGAGAACTGCGAAGGTCCGAGCTGAAAGTAACGCAAGGACAATGACATCAGCAACGGATGGAGTAATGGCCTCATAGCGTTGAAAAAATTAACCAAATGGAAATGTATATGACATAATTATTTAGAGCATACACCTTTACACCTTTCAATTTTGCTGCATTTGGCATTCATAGAACATGAGGGTCTGTGCATTGTATATGTTTATAGATGCTAAGTGGAATGAACTATCGATGGAACATTACCGAATTGAAACAAACATGAAAAGCAGTAACCATAAACACAGGTGAAGGCAAAGTACCACAGGCGAAGGTATAAATTTCAATTGCCTTTAATTGGTTTTAAACGGTTGTGATTGAAATCTGGAAAAAACGGTTGTGTTTGAAATCATGCTAGTGGGTTATGGGCTTTGTGTTTTTTTTATCCATCCATCAATGCAGGTAGAGTATGTACAGAAAGGATATTCATTTCTTTAATCATTTACCAATATGTGGTTGAGTTATGAATGTCCTTACCGTCATTAAAAAATCTTTGAATCTGAAAGTGCCATTAGTACAGCATTGTAATTTTTAAGATATATACCTATGCTCTGTATCACCCTCTCTTTGAGAGCAGTGAGTGGGTTATGTTTCTGTTTAATGGTGTAGGTTTGAGTTCTCCGATCATGGGATTTGAATATGTGGTCCAGATTGTGAATTACTTGCAGTTTATAATAAGCTCCACTCTTGTTTCTGGTTATTTTTCTTTTGTAAAACCTGATCATAATATTGGCATATACCTCGAGTTTGCATTGTGTGAGAAAGACAGGGGTTAAACGCATAAGGGAGCGGTCAAAGCATAGTAAGAAACGCAACGAATAAACTGAGAACAAATTTTTAAGATTATTATAAGTGATGCTTGGGAGTGAAACAGGGCGAAACACTATAAAAAGACTGGAACTACAATGATTATTCTTCAAAGCTGCTTATGCGCAGGTTCTACTACTTACTACTACTACTACTACTACTACTAAATATAATTGAAAACGTAGGCACTAATAGCACGTGGAAACACAGCTGCTGGTCAGGCAAGTAAACTTTATTGGGAAAGACCTTATTGCATGATATTTGTGACAATTCCAGTGGTAGATAACCCTCATCCTCAAGCTTCAAGGGCTGGCAGTAGCGTCATTGTTCTTCACACTGTAAGCAAGATTTTCTTTTAAACGTTTCTGGGTAAACATGAATAAGAAATTGTATATTGGTCTTTGCAAGGGATTACAAACCTTAAACGCCTTTTCTTATTTGCAAATTTCCCAGTGGGCTCTGCAATGTGATATTCACTACCACTTGAACTGCTTGTGCTACTCGTAGAAGCATGTATAGGTGTCTAGTTTTATGTGTCATGATTGAATATTATGGGGAGAACATGTTAGTGGGTTGTATGAATTTACAGGATGTATGAAAGAAATGCAACGATTCAACAGCTTAAATACCTCCTTATTTTTCATAGGTCCAAGTATGGATTCCATGTGTACTTTAGTAGCTCCAAAGCTCTGTTTATATGCTGTTTTGTTGTATTCAGTGAGCTTGACATGAAACACATACTTCTGGCCAATTAGATTCTCAATCAGTGCAGGTAGCTGTCCTTCGGAATCTTCTTCCTAGTGGTTTCAGTGAGTATACTATTAATTCAATGTCAAAGTGTATATAGATATAACGGGAATGATGAATTGAGTTTAACGTGCAATCTTATTCTTGTTAAAACCTGTTTTTCCTGCATTTCGTACAAGCTAGTAGCAGTTTGGCCGATAATCTTCTCAGCTTCCTCATCAAAAATACTAATAAACTTTGTAATATTTGTGTCATCATTAACGCCGAGTTCAATGCGATACCTATGGTTGAAATGAAATGAAATGTCATTACTTAACATTTCAAAACGATCGCCTAAGAATGAGATATGGTGAATATGACCATTTACAGAATTTAATTGCTTCAACAATGAACGGTGCATATCATACAACATCATCCACTAAGTGCCCACATTTTTTACACCAAAACTTTGTACCACTTGCCTTCACGATTCCTTTACATTCTCCGCAAGAGATATAATACCAACCATTTTTGTTGCTTATATCATATATCAACGCATGGCAGTAATACTTTGCTCCCTTAAAATTGTTTTACGTTACACACATTCATTAATATCACATCTTTGCTAAACAACCAAAAACAAAATTATCAAGTCTTTGTTGAAATTCATTATTGTATTATCACACACTTACAATTTCAAAGTCATGTGATGCAATATCCAAAATCTCGGCAATGCTCTTCAAGCCAGCAAGAACTGTATCTCTCTGTACACAGTGACCGTCTGAACCAAGAGGGGTTGCGTATCGCAAACTTCACTGCATTTGTAAATTAATGTTTATTTACCTTTTCAAGGAATTAAGAAATTTAATTTTTAAAATATTTCGCATTGACAATAACTTTATGATGGTGTAATTAGAGAAATCAGACGGTTTTTTTCTTGTTTGTGTAAAGGCGATAAAGAAACTAACTCGGCAAAATGACACCGTATATTTCTTTTAGAGCAGCAACTTCATTAATGGGTATGCCTAAGTACAATACCTATATTTTTCTTTTAGAGCAGCAACTTCATTAATGGGAATGTCTAAGTACACCTTAGAAGCAGTGGTAGAAGACAATGTAGGCCTTTCTGCAAACATAAACGTGAGCAACATAAAAATCCATATCTTAGATGCATATCATCACAAACTTGCTTATTGTAAAAAAACTTACTCATGTATTCTTTCACCAGATTTGATGTGAACACTCCAACAATTACATAACCCTCAAGTGCCTTTTTTGGGTAATATAATCTTCAACACTCTTACCCCAAAGTGTAAGTCTAGTTTTTGCACCTCTAAACATTATTAAAAAAATAACATAAAGCTATTTTTTACCCGCGGGCAGCCACGACGAAGATTCAAGCAGTACTTTAATTACGTAAACATACCTCAAATCCTGTAGTTCAAGCATAAGGCATCTTACTACCCTATTGTTAATGTTCTTATCCATGGCTTCCCCCTCACTGCATACTTGCCCCACAACATCTACCAAAATAAATACACATTTTTAACAAAAGATAAACTGCCAAATCCGAATCATTCTTATTGTGCTAACAACACAAATAAAACGCACGTATACTATAGATTGAACCTGTAAGAATATAGGTTTGGTTAAGCCTCGTAGGTACTTTATCAAAATCAAGGAAATCAAACCGGTGCATCGGAATTTCAGGTCCTCCACCAGGTGCCGGTCTTACACTTGAGGTTGGATTAAACTGAATCATGATTTTATTGTCTCCCACAACACGATATTTGTCTTTGTTATCAACTACGTCAAAATTTTTAATACTCCCTCCGTCCATGTATGATCTTCCCATTACGAGTTACGAGGCTTGACCGACTTTATTTTCAATTCAATTTAATTGATTATAGGAGTAAAATTTTAAAATAAAATTTATATAGTAATAAACTACATGAAAAGTTCTGCAAAACTAGAGGTGACAAGACTATATTATTTTATGAAATGACTAGTAAAGTTGAGCAAACAAAGTGAGTAAAGTTTGACCATGTGAATAGTGTCTGGGAAGATCTATGTTTGACAGAGGAAGTATAATATATCCCGCCTTCAACGATTTCGCGAAAGAAATGGGCATGGACATAAAAACCCTATTCAGAAAAAACAATTGTGGTGGAAATTAAGAAAAACAAATGGAATCGGAATACAACACATTATTAAAACAAAGTGACAGTTGTCTATTACCTCATCATCAATCATAACCATGTCCATACTAATAAGCTCTTCATTGTTTTTGAGACTGTACGCTTCCCAAAGTTGGGATACTCGTACCAGAATTCTACAATTTTCGGCATCACAAGAAAGCTTCTGGATTAGAGCGTAACTCTCTTTCTTACTGCTGCGAGCTACTTTTGTTGAAGTCATTGTCATAGCACACACTTAACCCTCACAAAACACTCAAAATGCAGAGACAATTAATCGAATATATTACACCAATTGACAGACGCAGATATATATAGGGCTTAAACAGTGAGATATGTATAAGCCTGAAACCTTTCCCATTACCTTCTTCAATGGACATCTTTCAGTTAAAAACTCTTATGAAAAGTATAATAAATGTATTTTATGTTAGAGTGCATCCCACATCGGAAGTCCAAGAGTAAAATAATCCGGTATATAAGCTCTTGAGTTAAACTAACTAATCGATTGGATTCAATCTTTTAATGTGGTTCAACCCAAGTGTCTTATTACCCAATCGAGTTGTCCATACCCATTCCAAATTCTATCATTTTACTCGCCTGGTTTGACAACCCAACAGACTTGGTGAATCAACCGTCTGCTCTTCCGTCGATTTTATGCTCTGCAATGTCCTCAAGAATTTCACTTTGCAGCACTGTAATGAATTCAGTAAATGACTCACTAATAATTTAAAGCACCAGCATATGAATCGGGGATATAACGAATTCGACGCCCGGTTTTAATTTTTCGTTAAGGAATCGTTCAATCATCATTCTCAAATCTTCAGTTTCGCTTAGGTCTACCTGCGCCTCTTTTGGGAATTCACCGAGTAACTCTTCGGGTTTACTCCTGTTGGAAATTGGAGTATTATTTTAGAATGTGGGCTTGGAAGGTGGGCTTTATTTCTGGCCTATATTGCTATATTTGTTTTAAATAAGTTGACTAAGAGCATCTCCAATGGGGCTTGGTATATGTGGCTTGCTATTGCTTTTTTTTATCTAATGAATAGTGGTATAACAAGTCACTTTTTGCTCCCTTCTCCAACCATGACTTGTTATATTATGCTCTCTCCTTCCAAAAATGTTTTACTCATTTTTGATCAACGTGCAAAACTCCATGATTTTAAAATGATTTTATTTATAAATTGTTAAATAAAATACAAAATAAAAAATTATATTTAAAAAACTACATCAAAAAATTTACAAAATAAGAGCTGACAAAAATTTATTTTATCAAATAATCAATGAAAATACACAAATAAATAAGAGTTATCGAGAGGCCGTAATAGTAAATGGGTAATTCTTTTTTGGACGGAGGGAGTAAGTAACAAATA